AGTATAATTTTTTCTATTCAATCCAGATTTCTTTCTTTTGGTTGTTAAAGTCCCTCTGCCAAATGAGATCTAGAGAAGGTTAAAGCTATCAAACAGGTTTACCCCAGTCAACTAGAAAACTAATATTTTTTTTTTCTGCACAAGGAAGAAGAATTAGTTTTGTAAGTAGAACTTTAATAAGTGTCAAAATGAAAAAAAAAAAAAATGGGTTATACATTATTCTTACAATGGTGGAATATATTGAGATAGTTAATTATTAGTCCTTAACAAAGTTTGCAAATGTTGTCTTTTTCTGCTAGCAAAGTTTTGCAGAGCAACAAGAAGAAATAATGGAGAAGTGATTTTCAGTGCTCTATGTTCATAATTTAGGTTGCCTTTCTGAACCACCGGGGAGAAAAACTGCAAATCCCATACATGACAAATTAATCTCAGGGAATCATGGAAAGGAACAGAATATTAAAAGTTCAACAGTGTGTGTGTGTGTGTGTGTGGGTGGGTGTGTGTGTTAGAGAAATTGAATAAATATATTGCTAAAAACAGAATATAAAATAATTCTGGATGGGTGGGTGAATTAGAAAATGAATCAATATATAAGTAACGAAAACAATAAAGTTGTTTATAAAGTTAGGCTATCAGAAATGCTTATATATTTCATATTATGAAGTTCAAGATGGTAGTCATTTTTTTAAAACATCAGATATATCTGAAGTAAAAAATTTCTCAAATTTAAATGAAAACTATAAATAATAATTTCTATTTTATAAAAATGGTAAAAAGACTGTGAAGTCATGGTGGTCATTAAATTAAGTAGGAAAAAGAAGGAAGAAAATACTGGAAAATTAAAATGAAATTTTTATAAGAATACAAAAAAATATTTATGTAAATACATATATAAATATAAACTGAGATTGAAAGAAATCAAAGAATATCAACGAGGCCAGTAATGTAAGTTTTTTTCTTTTGATTAATGCAAGTAGACAACCAAATGAAATAAAGTAAAAGGAAATTTATCAAAATATACTAAATTGAAATATGCTCAAAAATAAACATAATTGATTTAACAAAAAAGAAGGATTCAGCAGGAAGAAAGTTTTGAGAAACTTCAGACTTTATAAGCAAATAAATGTACTAACTACAGAGTACAAAAAGACTTGCTCACGGTCTTAATGGTTGCTCCTTGACTCATCTTTGAGCTAATCATACTTGCAATGACAAGTGATTTCTATAGAAGAACCATGACACTAGTCCAAAAGTATATTTAAAGAAAATTAAATTATCTTTTTTAATAATAATAATAATTCCTCCTTGTTTATTATATTTTGAAGCAGATAATTCAAAGAACAGCAGTAAAAAAAGATCCTAAGCACCCCAATTAGGTTTTCAGCAGTTGCATAGAGTGCATTCAGCAGTCATTGGTAAATATTAGTAGCCAAGAATAAGAGGAAAAATTCAGATTAAAAGAGGGAAAAGAATAAAAGCAGTTGAAAAAAGAACAAAGTATTAAATAGAATAATGAAACTGATTACAGTAGCAATGTAATAAGAAGTCTCCAACATACAGACAAATCAATGAGTGGGGAAAATGAGAAGTCAAAGTAGAAACACCTTTAGATTCGGTTCTCATTTATTTTTCTCTTTTTGCATTCTTAATCTGCAAGATAAATAAGCACAATGTTCTTACTTCATGAATAAATCCGTTTAACATAGCTATAGAAAATTAAACAATAACTCACTGCTGACCAAAAGTCATCATTCTAAAGCAGGTAAGTTAAAGAGTATTGTGCATGCAGGTCATGGACTTAAAATGACCAAATCACTGGGTGGTCAGTTGTCTACAAAGAGTCATTAATATCCAAAACAGCTCACAGAAGAAATTTTAGTAATTCTCCATAAGAATGGACTAACCTATGTATACCACCACAAGATTTGCAAAAGATTGGAATGTCATTTTATATGGAAAAGTAGTTTTGCAGAAATTTTCCTTTATACTTAACTGCTCTTTCATGAAACAATAAACATTTACTGTTAACAGTAAATTCTCACAGAAATATTCATATAAATGAAATATTCAGCAAGTGGTTTACTTTTTCTTTTTTAATTGAAAAACTCTAACAAAAATGGAAATGCAATAAGAAGTAAAGAACAAAACAAAAAGAATAAAGAGTGTTATTGAACCTAAAATAAGCATATTATTTTGCCAGTAAAGAGCAAATACCAGAAAAAACAAAAAGAAATAAAGATTATATATAGAAAAAAATTTAAAGCACAAAATTGGAACTTGTTTATATTTAGATCAGTGAATATGAAAATTAAGTAATAAAGTTGGTAAAAATGATTTTGATAAGAAAAATAAATAAAACCAAAAAGTAAATTATTATCTTAAAAGTGTCAGTTAAAATCCCAATCCAAGTTTGTTTATTTTTAGTGGAATTATTAAATGAATTTCTTGGTGGCATTACAGCAGTTATAGTCAACCAGAAATATTGAAAATGAATCAGCAGTGCTATCAGAAAATAGAGTAAAATATTCTAATATTTGATTGGTATTATTTTGTTCTTCAGCATTTGAATAGGAAACAATTACAAGAACAATATCAGCAGAAAATAAGACATGCAAGCATATTTTGAGTGAGTTTCAAGAGGTCACACACACACAAAAATAAGTTAATGTCAGTCAGAATGAAGGATATAAAAGACTGTGTCATCAATTTCAATCAAAGATGATGATTGAAGAGAATTAAATAACAAAATGACCAAATATGCTTGGTATATTAAATGACTGATGTGAATCAGTTTCAGCAGGAACAGAGAGATAATAAATCAGCAGATTATATATATATATATATATACATATATATATATATATATATAGTGAGAGGTTTTAAGTGGGACCACCTTCCATAGACTAAAGCATATTTTGTTAAATAAAAAGAACCTAAGAGAACATAGAGCACTGGAAAAGTTATATGGGATATAATTTTGTTATAAAAAGTGCATTAAGTCTAAATGAGTAGATGATAACTGTTTGGTGAATTTTTAAAATCCAGTAATGCAGAAACAGTGCTAACTTACTAATGACAAATTTCACAGGTCTTAAGTTAAACGCCAGGCATGACAAAAAGAAAGAACACCCAGAATACATTATATAGTCTCTGATTCAAAGTTGGTGGCTAATAATTTTTTTATGTCCTGTATTTATAAACATTACATAATTGTTTCCAACTTATAAATAAACAAAACAAATTTAAAAAGAAAATATTGTTCAATTTTCTAAGCAGAATGTAAACTATAAGTACTATTCTTGAAAATGATATTCTAATAATTAGTAAAAAAAATTATATTATACATTCCCAATCAGACTTAAGATTATTTTATCTGTAATAAAAAAAAATTACATCAAGAAGAATTAAAATAAATAAAGAGGAATATTAATGAAAAAGAATCAATACACCTATGAAAACTACTGAACATGGATTCAATATTAATTACCTAATGGAAATAAAATTATCAATAAGTTTATATTAAAAAATACTAATGCAAAATTTAAAATAAAATCATTTCTAACAGTGAGCATAGAACATATGATAGCAATAATATATAAAGGAAAAAAATCTATGCAATAAAGTTGTAGTAGTAAAAGAAACAATGTAATGGACATAAAATGATCTTTTTAAATAATGTTAACAAAAAATATATATAAAATTTTAAATATATGTATTTACATAAATTAATTTTCTGGGAAATGTGAACTTATCCATTAAGTTATTTTTTTTTTTTTGTTAATTTCCTATGTAAAATTAAATTATAAGAAATTGAATTTTTTCCTCAACAATATTCTGGGGTTCTGTTAGAGATAGCATGCCTGTTTTAAGGACTAGTTGAAAATCTGGAATAACCCTTTTGATTTTTATGTATAGCAGATGGATGGAAACATAATCACAGCTGCTGATAAGCTGTTAAGCAGCCATAATTGTTATAATCAGTAAAAGAATACATTTATTACATTTACTTAGTATCACAAAAGATAATGAGATATTCTTTATATACCAATGGTTGAGTAATGAAAACATTGCATGAACAAAAATGACAAAGCACTATGTAAAAGATGAATTTGAATAGAATGACAAGTGGATTGCGAATAACCAACAATACGGACCAACACTCAGGAATGGCGAGTATGAAAAAGCAATTTTTCTTTTCATTTAAATTAATTATTTTTTTGTATTTGTCATTCAATATAAAAAAGAAAAACGTTAAGCCAGCAAAAAATATTTAAACAAAATACTTGTTCCATTCTAAAACAGAATGGCTGGTGATGCCAAATAGGTAGGCTTTATTTTTCTTTGCTTTTTTTTTTTTTAATATATTTTAAAACTGATTTTCTTCCAATTTTTTTTTTTTTAAATTTCTTCCACAAATTTCACTTTTGAAACATACCGGGATTTGGAATGACAAGAAATTTTAATTTTTTTCTTTTTTGATTTGATGTTATGGCTATGATATTTAAATGAACTTTATGATGTGATATGTAAATCTGCACATGGCTTATTGCACTCTTTGACCTTGTGCCAGGTAATTTCAGCATGAGGAGAAAAAAAAATGACCTGTTTTAAGACCAAAAAGAATTCCCTCCCCTTAACACTTGATTTGCAATTTACCACCCATTTTTATTTATTTAAATTTATATTAAAAAAACTAAGTTTTCGTGGAAAAATAGAATAAGGAAAAACAGTGGGGGGATTAAATAATAAAAAAGTGAACAAACTAGAAAGGTAACATGAGAGAGAGAGAGAGAGAGAGAGAATAAAAAGTGAAAAGTAAAGAGAGAGATAGTGAGAGAGAGTGAGAAAAAGGAAGTTACTTTGGTTTTGTTTTTATAAGATTGTTATTACAAATAAATAATTCTCCCCCCTGACTTTTCATATTAATGTTTTGTTTCTTGCTTTTCCTCTTCTACTTTTCCATGTTTCTTTAAGAAGTTTTAGTTTGTCTTTAAGGCTTCCTATTCTGCAGCGTCATCTTCAGGTGAATTGCTTTCAATAACATCCTGGAGAAGCTCGTCCACGGAATCACCCTCTGCACTTATCCCCTTCTCTTCAAAATCCAAGTTCGGAACTAGAATAGCAAGCATACGGACCACGTTGCCGCGCAGTGTCTTCAACTTCTCAGCATGCTTGCAGTCATCTAGACCATTCACGTCAGAACACTGCTGGCTGTGACCATTTGTAGGACCGTGGCCATTACGTGATGACCGTATGCTAAGATCCATGGCCTGGTTGGAGCCATTATCCAACGGCTCCATCTTGACAGTTCCTCTTGATGCTTGGTATTGAAGAGTTCCGTGATGATGTGCAGGGGGAAAGCCTGGGCCCGTAGGTGGGCAAGGATTTTGTAGGAGATCAGCACAGTGGGGCGAAGAGTGGCCGTTGAGAAGGTGATGTTGCTGTGGACTAGATTTCAATTGATTCAGAGTGTTGTCAAGGAAAGAAGCCTTTAAAGGCTCAGTGAACTTGTTAGATAAGTCAAGACCAGCAGTTAAGCTTTGGTTCAGAACGGATGTGGGTGGTGGCAGTTTAAACATGGCCAAATCAGTACCTGGGACTGAAGCGGTCATGTAACCTACTCCCCTGTGTGCCCGGTGTCGTTTTTCTTTGATGTAGTAACCCATTCTGCCCTCATGTTTATTGGTTATGTGACTCTTCAGGCTATGGCTTTGGCTATACTGTACTCCACAAGCACCACAAATATAGGGACGTTCACCTAAAACAGCAACAAAACAGAGAGTTAAAGGAGCATGAACAAAACAAGAAAATTCATATCGCAATAAGATCCTATTTCAATACAATAATTTTTCTGACACAATATTGTTTAAATTCCTAGATAAATGTTATATTTCTATTTTAACAAAAAGACTCAATAGAAAAAGTTTACATTAGTGAAATTAATTAAAAGAAAGAATTAAATGATTAAATTACAACTAAATTTATTAACTGATTCTAGTGTGTATTGTGTATTATTGTGTGTATATATATATATATATATATATATATATATATATATACATACATACATATATATATGTATGTACACATTTTCTAAATAGCCATAATATTGATAAGAGACTAAAATAGGATAAACTACTTTTTAAAATATTATATGATATAATGTGATGATATAATTGTTACTTCATTTATTAGTAAAATCAAAATTTGATATGAATAATTAGTACCTTGAGAAGAGGAAAGATTTATATTATGAGCTTCATAAATATTTTTACAATAAATGAAATGCACACACACAGACAGACAGACACACACTAATGTAATCTTCCCCCATTGTGGCTTTAAAACTCTACATCACTCTTGTAAGCAGCCAAAGTTGAAAAAAGTAATCAACAAAACAACATATAAGCACACCAACACTAAAGCAAGGCAAAATAAAGGCATCACTGAACAGCTGAGAAAAGAACATGGAACATAAGCAAGTTGATTACTTATTATGAAAATAGGCGCACACATGATTAAATAGTAATGATAATGAAAAAAGTCAATTGGTTGTTGCCTGCATAAGAATTACAATTCATGGAGAATAGATAGATATTCAACAGATAAACAAATGTAAGACTGAAAGAGCATTGTAGATGACAATGTTGGGGAGCATCATGTGGTGGACAAGCAAATGTAAGCTCAATCTGAAAACAAACAGTTGAAGGTAAAAAAAAAAAAAAAAAAGAGTTAGAATAACTACATAAAGATGACAGTTTATTTATTTATTTATCAGTTTATCTAAAGCATCAATATTATATTATCAAGCAGCCAACCTGCCCCCCCCCCGCCTGCTAGTTTGTTGACCAATGCAAACAATGTAGCAGAGATATTTGAGGCAATGGCCAATCAATATTTAACAGAAAGAGCCATGTAAGTATTCATCATTGTCTTAGACCAGAGTCTATATAACAAACAGTAATAATTTTTTATAAAAAAAGTTTTATATTTTTTAATTCCTTTTGATCTTTTTTAATTACTTTAAGGGATCACATCTGATAAGAAATCTCTGCTTTTTTTTATCTGGTTTGGATGAATATTAATTATTTTACCCACTAATACAAAATTTTAACCAAGATAGTGTTTTATCAAAGTTAAATAGGCTTTACATATTTGTCATGAGATTACATTTTCACTTAATATTAGGTAAATAACACATTTTGAACAGTTGCTTCAAAAAAAATCTCACTATTAATTTATATTTGTTTTTTCTAACAATCATGCATAAAAGATTTTTCTCACAAAGATTCAGTGGAATAAAAATGAATTCAAGGTCATGACTGATGACATTCTATAAGGTAATATACTATAGTAAAAATAAATGGACAAATAGAATGATGATGTTAATTTTGTTTCAGTGATTGCATAAACAAATTACTTTTTGCTTCAATTACTTTGAAAAATAAAAGCCTTAGATAGTATGTGTGTGTGAGAGAGAAATAGAGATAAACATTTTATAGAAGAATCAACAGTTTTGGAAAACAACTTTTGTGATTAATATCTTAAGCAAGATAATAACTAATTTGTTCTTTAAATAGAAAATATTTTTCTTATATTAAAATTAGCTAATCAACAAAATATAAAAATTTCTAGATACATCCTAACAATTAAAATTGTATAATCAAAGAGCAAAACTTTTTAATATAAAACATATTTGTTTTTAAATTTCTTAAAAAGACTACAGATGCGTGTGCATACATAAAACACGAAAAGAGAGAAATTCATTAAGCAACTGAAGAGAAAAGAAAAGAGAAAAAGTTGTTAGAAATTCAGCAGAAAGTATACAATACCAAAAGTGTTAGATGAATGTTTGATTCCCGGTTAAAAAAAAAGATTCTTGCAGAAGAAAGTGTTAGCAAAGGATTAGCAAACACATAGATACAAATGAAAGATACAGGCAGCATAACATGTACATTTTTAAGTAAATCTAGGTAAGAGTGTGTATTCACATACATACACGCACTTAAACAAAATGATATGTATGTATATATCAACACATCTACCTAAACATGCATAAATATTAAATTTTGAACTAAAATGAGATGAGAAAATTACTTGTATCAATGAAAAAAATGATTCGTTTTAATTTTCTCATTCTTTATTGCGCTATCTTAGACTTTTAACCAAAAACATAAAATAGGCAATTTACCCAATAGATTTATGAAGTAAATTATTTAAAAAATATTTTATCATGAAACCAATTTGGAATAATCAATTATTTATGTTGCATATTATGAAAAAATTAAAAAGCTGATTTTAAAGCTCTGGCCAAATGAATGATTTATAGAAACTTTAACTGTCCTAATCCCTACCCATTTCAAGTACCCATCCCCCCATCCCAGCTGCCTACCACCACCACAACGCCAACGACAGCAACAACAACACAGCCGACGACGTGTACAGTTGGTCAATCTTTCATGTAAGAAACCATTAAGTGATACGTCAGCTTTAATGATAACAAAAGCAAACTCCACTTTGCCCCAAACAGTAGTTAATATCATCATCATTGTCATCATAATAATAATGACCATGACATTTATGATCATCTGGTTCATCATTGTCATCATTTTTGTTCTGTGTCAGCCATCACACACCATCACTGCAACCACCACCACCACCACCACCAACACCATCATCACCACTAACACCACCATCACTAACATGACACGAGACCCAACCCAGTTGTTAAACATCCATCCATGCTGGCCAGGGAGCACCTTTTGTTTGAACATTAAAGCTGACAGAACAATAAAAATGTTCTTACATGAAAGACGAGCCAGATTCTTGGTCTGCACAGAACCTTGCAATTTTCCTGAAAGTGGAAGAAAATGTAACAGTCAGTATTGGTCAGTATTTCAAATCTTCAGTTCACCGTTCACAGAGTGGAGGAAGAGGAAGAGAAAGGAGAATGTGAAGAAAAATAGTAATAGCAAAAGAGACAGAGAAAATCAGAGGGCTGTTGAATTTTTTGCAGGGGGGTGGGGATGTCCATCTTTGAGAATAACTAAGAATCAAAAAGAAGGGATGGGTGAGAAGAAATAAAGAATTTTGGTTGTGGCTTATGCCATCTTAGTAACCCTGTGAACAAAACCTACTAAAAATATTCTCTAACAATGAGGTACAGAGAGAAAGACAATAATGAACAATAAAACACAAACATTAAAAAACTTGAACTCCAACTTCCATAATCAAATTTGATCTTCTTATGTGTCTTGATTTTCTTTTTAAAATGTAGTTTCCTTCATTTTACTTTGCCAAATGCAAATCAGATATTGTAATCTAAAATAGGCATAAGGCAGGCTTAGAGAAATAGAAAAGGAAAGTTTAGAGAAATTAAAAAAATAATTTAAAAAATAAACAAAAATGCACTAACACAAAAAATAATGACTTATAGAGAAAAATATGAAAAAGAAACTTGTAACAAATGAAAATAAAATTTCAAATACTTATAAAATTATAGTGACAAAAAGGAAACAATCACATACAAACATTCTAGTGATGTCTTTGAATTTATAAAAATGGAAGATTTTTTTCCAAATTCTATTTTCTAAAAAAAATTCAAGTTTTATATATTTGTTTTTTTTTAGTTCATGCAACAGAGGAAATATAGGGATAAAATACTGAAAAAAAGTTAATGAGCTGATCATTTGGCAGAATTAACTATACACTTCAGTGTCATATACTAGCACATCTGTGTAAATCATGACATTCTTAACATCACACAGAAGCAGAAATAAGTTAGCAAGTGGCAAAAAATTTACAATAAAGTAAAATAAAAGTAAATACATAATTAGTATAAGAAAAATTAAGCAGATAGCTAAAAAGGAGATTTGTTGTTGGTTGTTTTTCTCTTAAACTAGTACTCAAGTTGTTTTGAATAGAATAAATATATTTTGAAACATCATATAGAATAAAATTGAAATAGGCTTATTTCAGTTATCAATGAAATAAGACAAACTGTAGAATTAAACATCAATTTGAGAAAACAACACATCTCAGAGACTATTTAGTGAATAATAGCAATTTTTCAAATTTTCAACAATCTAGTTGATATATTTCCTATTAAAACAAATTACAAAATTCAAATGCATAATAGAGAATAGGCTTCAATTATATTTTTTGAATAATCTATTAAAAGTACAAAACTGTATCTATTAGATAATCAAAAACTCAGGTAAATGTTCATTTCTTGTTAAAGTCTCAGAGTATTCATGCATTACAGTTCAAAGATGACATCAATTTTGGATACAGGATCATGTCTTGTCAGTGCCAATGTCTTTCTCTTTGATGCTATCTAGTAATAAAAGTGATCAAACTAAATAAATTAAATGTTACTCTAAGATAAAACTATATTTTGATCTATAAAACAATTGATCTGAAAAACCAATTGAAGCAGAACTAGAAGTAGTTCTTTTCAAAAAGAAAGATACTATCATCAAATATATGATATACAATAATAAATTAATATTCAACAAGATATATATCAACTTCTATTTTTAATGAAATATACTTATAAAAAGAAAAAAGGTTATAAACCTTCTGCTCCATGTAGGTTATCCATTTTTCAAAAAAATATTTAAAACAAATTGGTTTCTTAAATTATAAATGTTTAACTTACATCCTGGAATTTTTGTCATCCTTAATAATGACCCTCTTTTTCTTTCGCAATCACATGCATGAATGCATACATAAACAAATGCAATAAGATAATTATTT